GAAAGCAGCCATTCACCCCAGTGTATGTTGGGATGAGCAACAGGCTCAGCTGTTGGTCAGATTTATGACCCCTTTGAGGCCCACACAAGGTGAATTCTTTGATAGTGGGCATCCCAGTTGTTGACTTTCCACACACAGGCAGGCTAGGTGGTTCAATGAATTGCACAGCAGAGGTTTAGCACCAAGATCTATTTTGGGCAGGGTGTCCACACTGACATTTTGTTCTAAGGCCAAAGGTTGTGCTGAGAGCACATGAGGTTTTTAGGATTAGGAAAATGATTGAGGGTTGGTCTAAGGAAAAGGAGGTGGCAGTTGACACTAGGACTCCTTTTGTGCACACCACTGTGTCCCAGCTCACATGCTTATGAGTAGATTTATGCAGATATTAATTTAAAGTAAGCATTTTCAAGCAGCTACATGAGTGGCATTTTTGTGCACTCTGAGTTAGTGAATTTATGGCAGCCTCCAGGTATGAAGTATTTGGCTGTGCCTTCTGTGTGGATGATGTAAGTTTTACTAAGTCAAGGTTGAGGCCTTACATTCAGAAGTCTAAAACTGATCAGCTGGGGAAGGGCACAGCTACCAATTCTGGAAGATGTGCTGGCCAGACACCTAAATGTCAGGGGGAGAGAGTGAAGATTCCTGTTTAGGCATGCTGACAAGTATCCCCTTCCTCAATATCAGTTTTGGAAGGCTATTAAAAATGTGCCAGAGGCTTTCGGTTTGGCAGGTGGAGATTTGGAACACTTTTGTTTAATACAGGAGTGGCATCAACAGTGACAGCCATAGGTTATACCTGAGAGGATATTATAGGTATAGGGCAATGGTCATCCCAAAAATACAAGTCCTAGGTATGGTCACTCATGGAGTAAGAAGTTCAGTTGCTGTAGCTGTGTCCTTTTTCTTACAGGTTTGATGTTGCCACTTAAGAGGCTTTTGGATTTTGATATGTGATATGCGGACACAGTTTCATTTTTTGGGAAGTCAAGCATGTATGGAGAAATGCATGGTGCCACACTTGGGATTGTGAGCCACAGGCACAGTTGAATGGAGAGGTTGAAGGGGTATGCTGTGAGACAATCTGTTGCCTGAGGTCTTCATGGGTGCTGTGGATCTTCCCCTTGGTCCACCTGATGGTAATGACTTGGGCCAATGGAAAGGCAAGTCATTTACCCCAGAAGTGGTTGATGATTTTCAGATGATCAAGCAGATGTGGCCTGGGATGCAGTTAGTTTGGTTGGCTCTATTCTCTTATGCGTGGAGAGGAACCCAAAGTGCATGCATTAGGCATGGTGGGGTGTCAACTCTGAGTTGGAAAAGGCCATACTGGTGAGCAGGATAATGTCATTCTCAACTAGATATAGTGATGGAGTGCACAGAACTTTATAGAAAGGATGGGGTACCTCTATCAGTAATAGATGATTGTATATATTTACATGACTTGCATCAGGGTCTCAAAGCCATGATGCACGGTTTTGGTGCGGGGCAAGGAGCTTACAAATGTTCCCTCTAATTTTCAGCCCTGCTGTGTGGGAGGCTCACCCTTTGTGTGTGCATATATTACTTATGCCTTGCCTCTTTATTAGGTAATAAAAATGAGGCTGTATCAGTATGCAGTTCTTGCAGCAGCACTGGGGATGAAAATGTAAGACTTTTCTACTAACACCAATTTTCTGATAAAACTGGAGGAACTGGTATCTTTAGGACAATATCTATCAGAACAATGGCATGGGGAAAAGAGATTAAAACAATAACATCTCTTCTTCAGAGCCAGGGTCTTCAATCTTGATCAGATTCAACACACTGTTATCACCACCACCAGTAATGTTATCAAACTATCCTTTCTTTTTTTAAAGTAGGAGCTTTGGCAGCCCTTTATCACTTTCAACCCGTTCTTCACAAACTACTGGCCCAGTAGATGAAGAAAACAAAGAGGTCACAGTCCTCCCCAATACTGTGAGATAGATTTTATTTTCCCTTACCATGTCTTAATTATTGTTACTGAGTAAGGACAAATAATATGTTTTTAAGTTTGCATGAACACATGACAGTTAGCACATTTAATGCAAATTAGTATTCTCTTTGGTGATATTTAAGGCCATCCACACAAAATCCAATCATTTTCCTGCTATGCAATCATTTTTTACTGTTTCACTATTGCTGTTACCTGCTTATAAAAATAGCTATAAAGCAACATCCATTAAACTGGTGATGAATGCTGTGGCACTGTCTCTGAAATTGTAAATTTGGACCAACAGAAATATTGGTGCTCTAAGAGGAATGTCTTTGTTATGCAGGAGAAATGTCAACAGGAATGTGTTGAAGAGTTGTCCCAAGATTCTTTTAATCTCCTGGATGTCTTCTTTCTATGATTTTAATATAATAGTGCTGATTACTCTAGAGATTCTACAAAATGCGGGGCTGGATAACATTAATCTCACTCTGGTGATGTTTAAAGTACATGCTTCCTTTTCTAGTAGGTCCTGCTCCTGTTAGCTTTGAGAATATTGATGGGATCCAAAATTGTGGCAGGATATTTCCACAATGTGAAGCAACAGCAGGAGCAGCTACCCTCAGCATTTGGTAATTTAGGAGTAAAATGGCAGCTGCCATAGAAATCTTCAAACTATTGTGATTAGAGAAAGTTAGACATACTACATTTGGACCATAGAAATGGGGAGGGTCTGTAACAGACGGGAAGACCTGTTGTAGACTGGAAGTAAATCTCTTTTTGAGAATACGACCTTGTACGCTTCCCCAAAAAAAGTTCCCATGTATGTTATCTTTATTCCATTCCTTTCCATAAATGTTTCAAGTTACAAATGTGATGAGAGTTAAGTACTTCACAAAACGTTAAGAAAATAAAATGCTAATGTATCACATTTGGAATGTTACTACTCAACCAGATCAACCAAGATCCAAACTGCTATCATGTCTGAAACAGCAGCTTGGCACAGCAGGAAGCTTTCAAAAGCAGTTGGTGAAATGGTCCATGCTATCATTTTTTCCCCTAAATCCCACTTTCCATGACAATGTCTCTGCTTATTATTGCTTTTTTTGTCAGCAAGATGTGAGATGTTGGCTGAAATCCTTTATGTACTGGGAAGGAGCCTATTTGCTATTGCTGAGCAGATAAAGATGTTTTTAGATGAACACTTCTTTATTCTTCCATTTTAATAATCACTTTAAAGAAAAGAAAAGTGTGCTGCTTATATGCAGCCCCACAGCAGTTAAGAAATGTTAAGAGCATTAGGAACCCCTTGTTTCAATTCTGAACTTCTAGTTCCAACAGATAAAGTCCAGCAAATACTTCCTTCCAGCCACATGTTCATTTAGGGACAGAAACAGATTTTAGAGAGAGCCCTTGACTGGAAGAGGGAATTCCTTAAGCAATGGATGAGTCTGAATGTTACACCTCAAGCTTCCCTCCCCTCTGGGATTATCCAGATTTGCTTGTTTTGCTTGGTAACTGCACTTCAGGACATAAAGAATTATTTTCAAGTCTGATTTCCCATAATGGAAAGACTGCCTCAGTCACCCATGCAACAGTAACATGCTCTCAGTTCTAATTATGAGCCAACATACTTACTGTGTGACCTAAGTGCATAATCATGACCACCACATCAGATTGCTGTGGCATCCCCACACATGGAAACGTTGACCAGGAGACTGGACCCTGGTTCTAGTAATGCAACCTAACAATGCATTCACCCCTTTTAACTGTCATTTATCAATTCATAGTCAGTCTGTTATGATATACAATCCTGTCATCAGCTTCACATATAGTATGTCAAACCATGCAGCTGCCATCTGATGTATATGCAGTGATCTACACACACACACACACACACACACACACACACACACACACACACACACACACACACACACTCCATACAGCTTTATATTTGTTGCAGCTGAGTTTCATTTTGTTCATTTCAACTCTGCTTTTAATTCAGGTAATCCAGGATTTTGTTCCTGTTTTCTGAGATATTAGCCAAAATCCTATTGTGTAGCTATGTCTGTGTAACTCAAAGTTGCATAAGCAGCTTCACAATTTGTGACAAGGTAGAAGTCATACCTAGCAAGCAGTTCTACAGGAGTCGTTGTGCAACTAGTTGCATAATCATTGCACAATCATTCAGTGTAGACTACATGGGCGCAACTCCCTTCTGCAGGTGTAATTTATGTAATGCCAAGTGCAATAGGATTTCAACCATTAAATATTTCTCCTATTTTTTTTGTCAGCGAGAGATGTAATAATGTTTCCATCCACCTCTTCATCTAGGTCAGTGGTTCCCAACTTTGGGTACCCAGATGTTTTGGAGTACAACTCCCAGAAATCCCAACCAGATGTTCATCAACTAAAAGTCGAAGAACATTCGGGGACCATCTGTTGGAAACAGAACATCTGGGGGACCATCTGTTGGAAACCTTGCTTTGTTTGTCAGCAGGTCACTGATATAAATTTTGAAGCCCAGACAAAGCCCTGTGGAACCCCATCCAAAACCTTCTTCTAGTTTGAAGTGGATCTCCATTTGTAATTGTCTAAACATTTGCAAAATTAGATAATAGCATCACCCAATCCACAAATAAATAGCTTCCTTTTATTGGGGTAATTTAGGCCACAGTTTTGCTAAAACCCTCCATTAATCTCATCCACCACATCTTCACATTCACGCTTTTAAAGGAGCGGTGATCAATATGTTATTGGGAAAAAAGCAAAGTTTCCCTTGTCTCATATTCTCCCTCCCACATATTCATTCAAGTCTCAAACATATCATCATTAGTGTATCAACTGAAGGCAAGAATATTTAAAATGTAAGGGGTTTATTCTCCTTTTATCAAGCATTTTCTACATACAGAACATCCACATGGAATAAGACAGAGAAGAAAAATGTATGAGATGGACTACTGTAAATCATTGAATAACAGACAGTTTACATGGCTGTTGAGGTTTTTTGTTTTTTGCTTTTGCTGACAATGGGATTTTTTTTTTTAAGGATTCATTAGCTGGAAATGTAAGTCAATTTCTTTTGTTCAACCAAATCTATCTGCCAGTTACCTTAAGCAAAAGAGAATTCTACTGTATCACAGTGCAGGTTGCTACTTACACACAAGAAAATACAGTGCTAGGCAATCTCATATTTCTAAGCAGCTTTACATATTGGAGTAAAATTAGAGAAACATTTCTTGCATTGAATGAACGGAGGTCAAGACGTGTCATAGCCTGTTCCAGTTAAACTCAGTTCTTTCAAAAAATAAAAGAAATAATAATTATCAAACTCACATGTGTTTTAACAGAAGAGCTGAAGGAAAAGTTTCATTGCTACCTTGAGTGCAGATATTGTTTCTCTCTTTCTAGTGGCTACAACGATTCTAAATTTTAGAACCTTTATTATTCCTATTGAGATGTGTGCATAAGCAATGTCCATAACTGACGTTGTAAATCATGATGCTGAAAGAAACGATATAGAAAGACAATACTTTGAAGTCTAATGGCAGGAGTGGGGTAGAAAAATTTATCAAAAGTAGTGAGGAAAAGCTGGTATTTGACAGTGTACACGTAAAGGCTCTATATGTAGCAAAGTGATCCTAAACACATTCCCTTAGCAGTTAGTCCCAACAATGTCAATGGGCCTTATTTCATTAAGAGGCTTGAGAACATGGCTGAAGATTGTAGTTCTATACACACCTGGGAATAAGGAGCATTGACCTCAGTGGGATTTGCTTCTCTGTGTCCATGCATAGAATTGTGCTATTAACTCCCATCTTTCAAAAGCTGCACTCTTATACCTACTTACCTTGGAATAAGTCCCATTGAATTCTTCAGGACATATTTCTGGATAGAAATGTATAGGAATGCAGTGTAAGTTCTATTGTTATGCAGATTCTTTAAAATGCACTTCTAGTAAGAAATTGTCCTTTTAAAAAATAACAGTTTTCTTGCCAGTATAAGTGAAGCTTTTTATCGGTTTGACAAAACATGTTTTCTTCTAAGTAGATAACTATATTGTTTCTTTTTAGTAAAACCAAAACTCCTTGTTTATACCATTCTTTTGCACATGGGGAGATAAACGATTGCCCACCTCTGCTACGAAAAAGGGTCAAAGTTCTACAAGCAATTAACAGAATTCCTAAAAACTGCAAATAAAACCGTCTTCAAATGGTAGTAATAAAAAATGACAAAACAAGATGTTGTAAATATACTTTTCCCTTTGTCTTAGAACCATACTTTACAATGGTATGGAGATGAAAAACTTGAGATATCAAAACCTTCTTTTCAGGGGCAAAAGAAAGCCTCTAGTCACAATGGGAATACGATTACATGTTTCCTAGGCTTTGCCTTCTTTATGAGACATTTCCCTTCAAGGCACAGAAAGATTAAAGAGTGGACAGGGCAGAATGTTTCAGTCTGAGAAATCTAAATATATATGCACTGTATAACCTAACAATTCTATTAACCAGATTAAGCCAATGTGATGAATATTATTAATGCTCTGAAAAGCTTTCATTTTAAAAGGTGTTTAGTGTGTGTCATTTCCTCATACAGAGGGCAGTTACAATTTTCTTTTTTCATTAAATGGCCAATCTGTCCTAAGGAGGTCATCATTAATATACAGAATGTTATTCACAATTTCAGCATCTTTTATGTCACTAAAATTGCATCTTGGTCAACCACACAACATGTACAGAAGGGTCTAACTTTTTTTTTTTAAGAAAACAGTGACAATTAAAAGGATGACATTAAGTGCAATGTACTGTAAAACTATTCACTCATCTGTTATCTAATATGGTTCCTTATGCTTCTCCAACCCAAATTACTGTGTTTCCTCTCTCAACTTCAGTAATTTCACAATTCAGCTTGTTGAGTCGTCCATCTAGAATAAACAAGGATTCCTTGGATGGTGTCATCAGATATTGACCAAAGAGTCCACTGCCTTCAATTAATCGGTTCTTACTGTTCCATGGCCATTCATCTGGTTTAAGAGGTTCCTTAAGACTCTTCACCATCTTCACCTTTCCTGTGCACAATTCTACGAAGAGCACATCAGTTTGTGTGGTACAGCTACCAAAGATATTATATTGATGAGCTTCAGTAAATGATGCTTGAAAAGCAACATCAGATATGTGCAAGTTGGTATGAATGTCGAAGGCATCCTGGATCTCTCCTCTGACTGTAATGGTCTGGACCCTCATGAGACCTTTCACATCATCAATGCTGACTAGATAGTGACCATCTGGAGAGACATATGGAGTTCCCGTCACATCACCATTATATCCAATAATGGAGTCAGTAACACTGTCCACTATTAGCTGTGGTAGAACAGCTCCGGTAGTGTCGGGCTTACAGTTAACAAAATAATATCCACCAAGGTGTGTGTAAGCCAGAGACTTTGGAATACAATTGTAATCCTTTAAGCTAATTGTCTTGATGTATGACATGGTTTCAAGATCAATTTTCTGAAGTAGAGGTTCATCTTTGTGAAGGATAAATCCAAACCTAGAAATAAAAGACAAAAAATAAAGAAAAAATCATAATGTATAACATGTCCTATAAAAAGCAGCAATTGCTTAAAGGTTTGTAGAGAAAAATACATTCATGAGTATACCTCCCTGTGTATCTGACATGAAGTTCTTGCACACATATTTTCACTTGATTATACCAGATGACTGCTCAAACAGTATCAAGCAGTTTTGTGACTTAATCTTATAACTAACCAATGAATGTATTTAGCCAAAATGTTCAACCTGCGGTATTATCTCAGTGATTAAAAACCAGGCTTTCATCTTATCAATTAATTCTTACCAAGTTGCTGTTAAAACTTACTTCTTCACAATCAAAGTTCAGTTTAAGTCCAATACTATCTCTCAAAAACACATACTCAGTTTAATTTGAAAATATTTACCATGTAAATAGGTAGAAATAAGGATAGATTACTCAGCTGTAACTGGTTCTTTGAGTGATCATCTGTGTTCATACCATTGGGTTCTGTGCCTGCATGAACACTCCCCACAGAATTGTCCAGAGCTTTAGCCTTGAGGCTTCTTTCCCTTGCTTTTACTGAGCACAGTTAACCCATGTACCTCACTCCCACCAAGTCCAGCACAAAAAAATTAAATTGAAAACAAAAGTGGGTGAGTGAGTTGTGTGAACACAAGAACCACAGTTACAGGTGACTAACCTTTCCTTCTTTGTTGTGTTGTGGCCAGTTTCACACAATTGGGTGACTAGAAAGCTCAGTTTCTTGAGGTGGGTTGTGAAGACAGGACTGCTCTACTGAATGAAGCTTCTCTCTGGGCTAAAATGATTTACAAATGTGAGAGGTTGAGACCATGTTGCTGCTCTGAACCTGACTTGAATATCATTTCCTCTCATAAAGGCTATTGGAAACAGCAATCATGTCTTTTCTAAGTCATTTTGTGGTGACTAGGGATGGGCCTGAACCAGAAAAATGACAAATCAGAGTGGCTACCCATGACCACAAGCCACACACCATGCCCAAACACCAGAAAAAGAAACTGGTTTGTTGTTTGTTTTTCCAGTTCATGCCTGGGGAAGGGAAACCTAATGCAGCCACCCCCACTGCCACCCTCCTGCCCCCACCATCACGTGGTCCCTACTTGGTCCTGTCTCCTTCCTCCTTTGCTATCTTTAGAGACGGCTGGCCTGGCTCCTGGAAGGAGCTGGATGAAGATGGCAGTGGCAGAGGTGGGGGGGGGCATCCATTTTGCCGAAGGAAAATGAAGTGCCAAGTGGAAAAAAGTTCAGCACTTCATTTCATTTTGGAAAAATGCCGTGCACAGACCGAACCACAAAACAGCACAGTTTGTGGCTTTTTTCCCCCTCTCTCCCCTTCATATTGTACTTCGTGGAGGACGTGGCAGGTCTTAAACAGAAGAAGCTCTTGGTATTGGGAGCTTTGGTGATAATGATGGAATACTTTGTACAGATGGGCTGCATAGCTCTCTATCTGAAACTTAACCAACATTTTGATCTTCTAGCTATTGGCTTTCTGTAGATTCCACTAGCTGTGACACCATTACTGACTGCACCTGAGGTAACAAAAAATTATTCTTCATTTTCTGCCTTTTTTGGATTGTTTGACTCAATATCTGTTGAACTCTTTCATTTGTTTTTTCTGTGAGAGTCAGTTTTTTTTTTTTGTCAACTTCAAGGTAACTTTTGAAGTCAATGGAACAATATTGTTTTTAGATGTCATAGTTTTTTTCAGAGCTGGTGATTTTTTTAGATGCAGATATCTTTTCCCCTTTCTAGTGGCTTTTTAAAATGTTGATTGTCTAAGTGTGGTATTCTTATTTAAAGAATCTGTTGCTTTTTAAGAAATTTTCCCACAGATACAACCTTAAATAGAACTGATGATTTTTTTTCAAAGTCCATTCAGTAAATCCTCTGCAGATTACACAACTTTTAACTAAATGTGCTCCTCCTAAGCAAAATAAACATTGCTCATGTCCATCTGCTTGAGGTATTTTTGATCTACAGCTAGAACAGTATTCCATGGAGGCAGTTGAGGCCATAAACCATTAAGATTCAAACACTGGTTAAAAGGAGGGGGAAGGAGGAATGATGGAACAACGAAAACATGTTTTAGTTCTCCTCTCTCTCTCTCTCTCTCTCTCTCTCTCTCTCGGTAAAGCCAACAGATGAGGAGAAGGCAGGTAAGGGTAAGTTTAGAAGCTATTTACAGAAACTTTTTATGGTCTCTAAGCTCCACAGCAAACTGAGGATGTCATTGCCAAGACAGATGAAAAAGGACTGATATAAGTGGGAAGAGCATGCACAGTGAAAGCAAGGTAAAGAGACCTCAAGGCTAAAGCTCTGGAAAGTTCCATGGAGAGTGTTCATGCAGGCGGAGAACCCAACTGTGTGTAACATAGATATCATGACAAAGAATATAGTCTTCTGGATATGTATAATTCCAGTGAGATCATGTTACCGGCAAAGGCCCAATCTTAAGATTCTCTGGCAAGAAATCAGGCACAGATGCAACCAGCTGAACCAAAGGCCCAATTTTATTGAATAGCAGCAAAGAAAAGGTCAGCTGGGGACTTCTCTTAAAAGCAGAGAAGACCCTGAAAATACAATGTACAAACATTTTATAATGATACAAACAAATAACCATAAAGTACTACATTTCTGTTGGTCATTTGTACCCAAAGTTTGGATCCCACCTTTCATTGGGTAGTGATGCCAACTACACCGATCTGTTTGTTCCCCATAGATATGCAGATTGTGTGCCCATGTGTCCTTGGCCTATGCCCAAGATGCACCTGAATGTCCGGGGAAAGAATCTTATCTTTGGTATGTTTATGTGTAGGCTTCTTGGGCCCTGATGTATGGCCTTCACTTTCTGGCTCCCTGGTGTGAATGTTTTGGCCTGTCATCACTGGTTTTCTCCTGCCTGCATTCCAGGACCAGGCCATCTGCCATTTGACAATTTGCATGAAAAACTATTTTCTTTTTGACCCTATTACTGTCTTTGCTTCTAATGTTTGTGGTTTTAATTTCTCTTTTCTTTTTGTCCATTTGATTTTACTGAAACATATATGGTTACTGTAAACCTACTATGGTATCTTACCTCCAATTCTCTAATAAGTTTCTTTTTTGAATTCCATAAGGTCTCCATAAGAAAAACGATAAAAGGGCAAATTGACAGCCAAGGACATATCTTGGATTATCCCCAGATCCTGCATTTTCTACGTTGTTCATGAAATATACTGAATAATACTGAAAGGTTAACACTGAAAGGTTATACTGGAAGCTTTTTAATTTGGTGCTATGTATTTTGGAATAATAGCTTGATACATCAGTATAACAGTTAGTTGTGAAGTACTGTATATACATTGCACACAATTTGACACACAGGCATGGTGGCATCTGTGAGAAGCTGGGACAGAGCTGGTGGAGTTAGTCCCATTAACTCTGTTGGATAGTGCTAGCTCACATTTCCAGGAAAGCTTTCCTCGTTCTTGAAGGAAAAAAATTGATAAAGAAACAAACTGATGTACAAGTACAGCCTAAGTTAATGACAACAAGCAATTTAATAGGTGTTGTTTACATGGCTACTTGTTGCCACTGATTTAGGCTGTCTTGGCTTGATAAATATATCAACAAGGAATTTTTAAGCCCTGTGAGATTTCTTGCCTCCAGATGAGAGTGGGACAAGAAGGGTTTTTTAAAAAGGTATTTGTAATTCGCACAAATTGTGTCAGCACAAAACTAATATCCTTTCTCTTTGATAAGGAAAGCTCCTGCACAGAAAGCAAGCACAGAATGACTGGCTGACTGTTCAAAATGATGCAAACACCCTATCTTTACTCCTTAAAAACCCATGCAACAAAACAATAGCCTTCACAATTTTATGTTGTTGGGTTATGTGTGCTGAAATATTGCTTGTGTTAAAGAATTATCTGCACAATTCTGCTTAAGCTCATTTTCTTTTCTTTTTGATAGTTCCATAGAATACAACATCACAGAAAAATGGAAGTAATCTTTGTGTTTTGTCACATACAGGATTGACATGCCTGTTACCATATTTTTCTGCAAACATATCTTGACTTGTGGCTACTTGTGGCTATATATGAGGCCACACGAGGGTGTGCTTCATGTTCTCCTGTTTTTTGAACATTCTCCATTTACTTGTATGAGGGGAGAAAGGTGCAATAATGGGAACCAATGAGGCACAGTTGTCTCTTGTCCACCAGTTCAAAGTGCCCTCCATTTTCTGCCTTTTCATTCCTAGAAGTAATTCTCCATTCTTTCTCTACAGTCTACCATTTCTTGTTTTTTATTTCCTTGTTTCTTATCTAATCCAATTCTGATCTCTGTGGCTGTGGTAACATTAAAATGGTCTTGATAGCAATTCAAACAAGCTGTGTGAGAAACCACTGAGCACTGGGCCAAGACTGCTGATAGTAACCAATTGAATAAAGATAATTAACCAGGCTGCTAGTTATAATAGAGAGCATAGAAAGAATCAGAGGCTATATCACTTCCTGGGGGACACCACCAGGACAGAGCTGTTGCCCTCATAGTCTCCCACTTTACTTTTGAGCTCCCCACAGCAATCTGGTTGACCTATGTAAACCTGTGTCTGATTTAGCTGAGTTCTTACGCTGCTGATGACTTACAGAGAGTCTGCACCTCATGTTGAGTTTTACAATTAATATCATATCTGTGTCAAGAATTAAGGACAACCTTTCCTGCATAATAGCTTTACCTACTTTGACTTGCAGTTGTGAGACAGCATTAACAAATTTCATAGACAGGATTATTAAATGACACTTGACTCCAACCTGTGTTTCTCATAATGCTTTGGATGGAAACCAGCCAAACTAAGTTAAAATAAATGTAAAGTAGTTTTAATTTAAAATGGTTTTGAAATTAAGAAGATTAAAATCCCATTTGATCACACGCAATACAATTTTTCTCCCTCTTTGATAAAGATTAAGAACAGCTTTGGGTCTGATTATTCTCCA